TTTGAAGAAATCAAGAAAGCAGGATGCTTGACTTGTGTTCTAATAAAGCAGGTGATTAAAAAGTCAATTAATGTAATCCACCACATCAGCAGACTAAAGAAGAAAATCACATGATCATATCAATAAGTGATGACATTATAATCCTTAGAATATCCAAACTTTGAGGAAAATAGGAATGAGGCACAGAATGAGAGAGAAAAGAACTCGGTTTCAGTACAGCAATCAAATGCTGAATCCTCAATATCCAGGAACAACACTGAGGAAAGAAATTAAAAAAACAAAACAAAACACCAGACCTTCCAGATTGAAGTCTCAACAAAACCCTTTAAATAGGGAGTTTTTAACTAAACAGTAGCAGAACAGTGAGTATCCTAAGGCCCAAACTGAGAGGAATCAAAGCTAATCAAAAGAGAACCAGTTTCAGTTAAAAGGATCTCAAAACCAGCTGGAAGAAAATCGACACTATTCAGAGACATGTAGAGGTCGTTTTAGAGAGATCTCATTTTCAGCCAGAGAGATCTTGAGACCAAATAGATCTTCTGGTCAATCAGGGAGATCTCATAGCCCCCCAGAAAGATCTCAAAGCCATCCAGAGGGATCTTGTAGCCACCCTGACAGATCTGGTGGCCAATCACAGGGATCTTGTGGCCACTAAGCTCTCATCATCATTCAAAGAGATCTCATGTCCTATCAGAGAGATGTCATGGCCCATCAGTGAGATTTCATGACCAATCAGGGATATCTCCTGATTAATCAGGGAGATATCAAAGATACTCACCAGTAGGAAGATTCAAAACTTCACCAAAAATTGAGTATGAGTTTCACAGGTCTTTTTTAATGAAAAATAGGAATAGCTACCTCCAGATACAGCTGCAGCAAATAAATGACCAAATAAAGATGGGTTAAAGGGTACCACTGGAAAGGTATCACAACACCTACGAAAACTATGGAAGATGTGAGAGGTACTTGCATACAGACATCAGTACAATTAAATTTTATTGTAGGGGTGTGGAGAGGATGAAACAAAAATGAATAAATGTATCTTCAAGCATGGGACCTCTAGAGTCTGATTCTGAGCAATCCATAATAGTTTCTGTAAACAAACCTAATATAGAACTAGAAAATTCATTAATAAATCTACCTGTCTTGCTAAAGAAAATTTTTTAAAAATAAAAGTTATTTTTCATGGCCTTAAAAAGTTTTAGTATTCTGTTTTTACAAATTTATAATGCCTCTTCTATTATCCTCTTTGACTTCTTTAATTCATCTTTATTTCTTATTTAAAGTTGTATTTATATTAGCCTGTGTTGAAGTGTATATGATAAAGATGGCTGAATTTAGAAATACATCATTCCTGGGGGTCCAGTCAAGATGGCAGTTTATCACTTAGCATAATGCTCTGCAGTTCTGTCCATGCTGCCGTGAAGAGTAGGAGTTCTTTCTTCCCTTCTGCTGCTAGCAGTCCATTGTGAAAATGTACCACAGTTTTTTGATCCACTCATGTACTGATGGGCACTTAGACTGTTTCCAGCGTTTGGGTATTATAAATTGCACTATGAACATTGAGGTGCTGAGGTTCTTTTGAATTGGTATTTCAGGATTCTTAGGGTATAATCCCAGCAGTGAAATTGCTGGGTCAAAGGGCAGTTCCAGTTTTAGTTTTCTAAAGAAATTCCATACTATTTTACACAGTGGCTACACCAGCCTGCATTCCCACCAATAATGTACTAGTGTTCCCTTTTCTCCACACCCTCGCCTTGCTGTTTGTTGATTTGTAAGCCAGGCAAGTGAAACACAAATACCATATGATCTCACCTACAAGTGGAACCTAATCAATAAAACAAACAAGCGAGCAAAATAGAACCAGAGACATGGAAATAAAGAACAAACTGACAGTAAACAGGGGAGAGAAAGGGAGATAACAGGGCAAAGAAGAAGAAAGGTCATTCATCAAGGAACATGTATGAAGGACCCGTGGACAAATACAATGGGGGGGGTAGGGCCAAGGAGAATAATGGGAGGGAAATGGGGACAACAATAAAATTTTCACATTATGAAAAAAGCTGTCATTTTAAAAGATATTACCTAAAACAATAAAATTAAAGTAAGTTTAAAAAAGAAAGAAAAGAAAAAAAGATGGCAGTATAGATAAAAGTAGTCCTTAAATCTTTCCATAAGCCTGTCAAAATTACAACTAAATCACAGAACAACCACCATCCACAACCTCCTGACATTCAGCTGAACAGAAGTCCTACAACTAAGGATATAAAAAAGAAGCTACATTGAGGTAGGAGGGGTGGAGACTTGGAACAGGCTGGTTCCACACCCGTGTGTGCCAAATAAAACCGAGGGGGATATATTTGCTGTGGAAGTCCCACCTGTGGATCAGTGGGTCCAAGCCTGACACCAGGCTCCCAAGCCAAGGGTTCTAGAGCAAGGAAGAGAAGTTTCCGTAAATTCTGGCTGAAAAAATCATTGGGCTTGTGGCTGAGTGAGATGGAGGGAAACTGGAGTCCCGAGTGTTCCTCTTTAAAGGATGCCACGTAGGCTGACTTGTACTCACTCACTCACTCTGAGCTCTGAGGCAGCAGTATAAAAGATATCCAAGGACCTTCAGGGAGAAACTAAATTGTCAGGTATCAGGGTAAGCGCAGGAGGGGAAGCTTTCTCCCAGAATGCTAGCAGTGGCCATTGTTACATTTCTGAGCTCTCCCCAAGCAGAGCAGGCAGGCAGGTGCCGTATCTGAGTCTCCACCAACCGGGGTAGTACTGTTTGTCCAGCCCTACTGATTTCCTGAGACCCTACACCTTGTGGGCCCACCCAATTTCTTTTCAGTGGCTGTTTCAGATGGCCTGTCTTGGCTCATGCTTCAGGCTTTACTAAAATCTCTCAAATAAGCAGCATCTGTCCTCAGTGTGCCCCATATCTCTTACTAACTGGCCCCAGGCCCAACATTAGTGGCAGCCAGCATTGCTTCCCAGTTTGGCCTCTCCCAGACATGTCCAAACCCAGCACAGGTAGCAGCCATCTGCAGATCTCTTTGTAGCTTATGCTGGGTGGCAGCTAACCTTGGCCTGCACCTCCCAGGAGGCCCCAGAACCAGCACACCCAGTAGACAGCTTCAGACCACATTGAAGCACCATCCAACTACCTCCAATAGCAACACAAAGGGCAGACACAGCAGCACTGGAGCCCTGCTGAAAAAAGGCCTGCTCTGTGAGGTAGGCCCCTGTTTCCCACACAAGAAAAAACTAAAGGAGTTTAATACCACCAAACTAGGACAAAAAAAGTGTTAAAGGGTCCTCTAGAAGAAGAAGAGGAGGAAGAATAAGAGGAGGAGGAGGAGGAGGATGAAGAGATCAAATATATGAATAATAAAATGGTCATAAATACATACATAAATGATCAACTATTACTTTAAATGCAAATGCATTAAATGCTCTTGTCAAAAGACATGTGAGAACTGAATGGATAAGAAAACAAGACCCTTATATATGCTATCTACGAGAGACTCACTTCAGATCAAAAGAACACAGACTGAAAGTAAAGAGGTAGAAAAATATATTTGATGAAAATGGAAACAAACAGTTGAAAAACTGGGGTAGCAATACTTATACCAGACAAAATATACCTTAAAACGAAAGCTATATAACAAGAGACAGAGAAGGACTCAGCAATTCCAATTCTGAGTATTGATCCAAAGAAACCCAAAACACTAAACTGAAAAGACAAATATTGTACACCCATATGTTTATTGCAGCATTATTTACAATAGCCAAGATTAAAAAGCAACCTAAGTGTCCATCAGTAGATGACTGGATAAAGAAGTGGTTCATATAAAGGCTGGGGCAAAGGTAGATTTACAGTTGTGAGTACATGAAACAGCATTTATTCTGGTATTATTTATTTTTGTATTATTTCCCATATAAACAACTATAAATCTACTTTTGCCCCATTGTATATACAATGGAATATGACTCAGCCATGGAAAAGAATGAAACCTTGCCATCAGTAACAACATGGGTGGACCTAGAGGGTATTCCACTGAGTGAAATAAGACAGGGGAAGACAAATGTCATATGATTTCACTTAATGTGTGTAATCTAAAAAACAATAAATGAACAAGCAGAACTGAAACACACTCATAGATACAGAGAACATTTTGATGCTTACCAGATGGGAGGGAGTCTTAGGGGAAGAGTGAAAAGTGAAGGAATTAAGAAGTACAAATTGGACCTGACCAGTGTGGCTCAATTGGTTGGAGCCTCATCTCATAAACCAGGCACTGGTTTGATTCATGGTCAGGCCGCATACCTGGGTTGGTTTCATTTGCAGTCTGAGCACATATGAGAGGCAAATGATGGATGTTCCTGTCTCACATTGCTGTTTCTCTCCTTCTCTTTCCCTCCCTTCCCCTCTCAATAAGCATGTCTTTAGATGAGGATTTTTTTTTAATGTAGTATGAATTGGTAGTTACAGAATAATCCCTGAAATGTTGTTAAGTATAGCATATGGATTATAGTCAGTGTATTTTAATAAAAATGTATGGTGTCCAATGGGTACCAGATTCATCACTGTGATTGTTTAGTAAGATATAATGTCTAATCACCTGAAACTAATACAATATTGTATGTCAACTGTAATTGAATTTTTATTAATTATTTAAACTAAAAAAAATCATTCCTGTTAAAACTCTTACCTAAATTAAATTTCAAATAAGCCCTTATTATATTTCTAATTTCAAATTAACTGTTAGACAGAAACATATGTTTTTAAATAACAACTAGAAATTCTCTAGGCAGAATTACCCTGTGAGATTTTTGTGACTAAAAGTTTTGGTTGAATAAGTCTGTGCAGATGGAACAACTTAGAAAGGAAAAGTGCATAATTAAAGCTTGAATTATATAGAAATGCTGTGAAATAGTTTGGTGTAAACTCTATGTAATAAGATGGAAGTAGTCTTGAAATTCTAATATGCCTTGTTTCTTCCTTTCTTCAGAGTGTATATAAATGTGACTTCCTGAACTTGCAGCTTCAGCAACCACTCCAGCTTGCACAGGATGCTATAGATGCCTTTTTGAAGCAGCTGAAAAACCCTATTGATTATCTTCCTGGAGAACTTTTTCATGTGGTTGTTTTCTCTCTCCTTCTTTCTTATTTTCCATCACCTTACCAGAGATGGATTTGCTGCAAGAAAGCCCATGAACTGTTAGTGTTAAATGGTTTATTGCTTATCATCACACCTGACTCCTCCCATCAGAACCGTCATGCTGTGATGATGAAAAGTTGGAAGATTGCTATAGAGTCCCTGGGCTTTAAACGTTTCAAGTATTCAAAATTTTCACACATGCATCTGATGGCATTTAGAAAAATATCCCTAAAAACTACAAGTGACTTGGTTAGTAGGAACTACCCAGGGATGTTATATATTCCTCAAGATTTCAACAGTATAGAAGATGAGGAATATTCCAACCCTTCTTGCTACATTCGATCAGATATAGAAGATGAACAAATGGCATATGGTTTTGCAGAGCTCCCTGATGCTCCATATGACTCAGATTCTGGAGAAAGTCAAGCCAGCTCTGTTCCTTTCTATGAGCTAGAGGATCCCATATTACTTTTAAGTTAATATAAAAGCAAAAGGCCCTTTCAGTCCAAACTCCTAAACTAGTTGCTTACACTAATCAGAAATACTACCATGAACTCAGTACTTAAAACCTGATTTGCATAGAAAAAATGCAAAGATTGACAGAGTTTGCTGGGGGGTTTTTCCTGCTCCTGAATTTTAAAATTTATTCTTGTATAGAAAGGTTAAAAGTTTCATGCAGACTGCCTTTTGTCATAGCAGAAACCACTGTTTCTTTAGCATTTAGCACTCAGATACCATTGAAAGGTACCTTTACTTCTTTAGTGTCATTGTAAAAGATGAAGCATAATTTGCCATGTATTTTTTTTCATCTTTTCAGTGTTGACTTTAAACCATTGCAGTGAGAAACTTTAAGATATGTAGAAAGCTGTAGATTGCACTTTGATGGTTAACAAGTTAAATGTATCACAGAAATAGATTGGTTTAGTTGTTTTGTGATATTCTTTTTTCTAACTAAATTGTTATCTGTTACAGAAAGCCATTTTCTGTTCAGTTTTGTCTTTGATCATCTGAAATTTCCTGAACTTTTTTGAAATTAAAGGTATTTTTTTCCTTGTTCTTGCTCATTTGGCAACATCAGACATTGGGGGAGAGATTTCCCCAAAAGTGTATAATATAACTTGATTAGCACAGTACAAAAATCACCATTGCCAAAATATTCAATAGAATTTTTATATCTTTCTTGTGGACTTGGGCTTTGGTGTTAAATATATTTAACTGTGAGAGTTCACTTTTACTTTTTTAAATTTAGAATTCATTTACTAATTTTTCTATTTAAGCAAGGAACAATATAATATTCGATACTGACCTGAAACGCCTTTGTGAAAGGGTTTGCACTTGTAAGAGAGCTTATATTTTATCTAGGCCAACTTTTGTAAAGGGTCCTTGCCTTTCCATTAAGGAGATGCTGCACTACAAGTCTGAAATTATATAGAAAAAAATGAAAATTAACCCTCTGCTGGTAGTCTCATAGAATGGTTTTAAGCCTTCGGTGTCTAATTTCGATCTAAATCCTAGCCACAGATTTTCTTTGAAAATATAAATCATTAGTTGGCTGTGGGAACTTTCCCTTTCCATATTGATAAATGTCTTTCTGTTTCTGAATCAGAAACAAATGATTAAGGAGAAATATATGCCCAAACAAGGCAAGATTGAGTTTAAATAGCTAAGAAGATTTAGTCCATGTTGTCTTACCAGCCAGAAATTATCATGTAAATTATCATTTTTTAAGAGCCACTGTGTGGAATTTTTTTCAAGTTGTTTTTTACATTAAAATTACCTCATACTGAGGTTTTTGCACTGAAATAATCAGTTTCAGATTTCATGGTTAATGTACATGTGTATGTATTTAAGGGAAACTTGTTTTTCAATAGTCAATACTAAATTTCATGAACTCTGGTAAAACTCATGTTTTTGTGCTTATTGTGAATTGCTGTAGTTAACTTTGAATGTCAAAATTTATTTAGAAATACAAAACGTATCCTTTAAGATATGTATGGTTGAGTATACCCGATATTTCAAATTAAATTTCACATTCTGAGTTAGTGAAAGTAATAAGATTGTAATTAATCTAAAAAAGTCTGTTAACTAAATGAGAAATAATGATTGCTCAATATGCCAGAAGTAGCTTGAAATTTTTCTTTTACTTTCAATAGTATATGATTAGTTAATAAGATTGACTTTTCTTTCCAGTTATGCACTGTAGCTCAAGTTGTTGAGCTCACCCAAAAAAGGAAGACAAAAACATTGTATTCAGGATAACAAAAAACTGTGTTCAAATAATACTTCTTTTACCATACTGTTTTCTTTGACTTGACTAAATACTATCTTAAAGACAAGGGAAAAAAATATGCCAATGAAAGTGCTTTGAAAGTAAATGAAAACAATGATTTTGAGAGGCTGGTATAAGTACTACCATGGAATCACCCTTTGTGTTATGGCTAAATGTTGGTGCTATAAATCCTGCTTGTTTACAGATGTTGATTCTGTTTATGCTCCAAAGTGTGCGTGATGTATTTTAAGTAGTACTTTACAGAAAAACATAAAACCTATATTCCCACCTAGTATAAATTTATTTGAATTTATAAATATCATTTGTTTTGTAAGTTCAGCTTATACAAATTAGGTTGGCACAGGATTTAAACTAATATATATTCTACCAAAGCCAATTCAGTATATTAGTGTTAAAAAATAAGTAGTCATCTGGCTTGGTGCCAGATTATATATGTAATAACAAGAAAAGTAAATAGAGTCTTCTAATACTTTCTTAGTATGGGTACTCTTGAGAATGATTTCATTTGGATATGAAGCAGTTGAATTCACAACAGGATTCTTCAAAATAATTTGGCGTTTCAAAAACAAATGATCCTTTGATTGGAATCTTCAAAATCAAATGGTTTATATGTTAGTTGCCAAGTGGTGGGAGGTAGCGTGCCTGAAAATGTATGTTTGTGTTTTTTATATTTTTTCACATTTTGTGAACAAAGCACATTCATTAAAAATTTTAAATTTTCCAATATTGTCTGTTACTTGTAAACTGAAAGTCTTGTGGTCTTTGAACTATCTCATTAAGTGATTTCAAAATGGGGAGGCAATTTAGAACTTGAGTGACAGAATTTTCTAGCTGGGTTCATCTAGTCATTGTACATCAACCATACCATACTCTACTTTCCTTGAAAGTTAACCGCGCCAATTTTTTTAAGAGCAGGAAAGAAGTGGGGATATTAATTACAGCCTTAAATGGAAGGAACGAAACCTTAAAACATAGTTCAGTTTCTAAAGTACTGACTTCTCTAACTTTACAAAAGCACACCAAATGTTGATTCTACCACATTCCATGTTGTGAGTGTAACCTCATCCATGGGATGTGCTGTCTGAATCCATCAACTGAAGTTATGGCACTACAAAGGCCATGCCTAAAAGAACAAATTGACTTAGTATCCCCTTTTGACATGACAACAGCCTAGAAAATTACCACAGGAGCAACATAAAGTCACATTTTTGGAAAATACTAATTGGTTCTAAATAAAGTCCTTTCAGTATTGATGAAAATAACAAATGTCATTTACTAAGCAACTATTACTACCTAAATGAGCACTATACAAACATTCCCTCACTTTCATCCTCTCAACATGCCTACAAATTAACTACTATTATCACTATTCCAGTGAGGAAACTGCATTTTTTAACTGTTAAGCAATTATCTAAAATTACAGAGTTAGAAAAGTGACTCAGCCAGAATGTAACTTGGTTCTATATGATTTCTAAGCTTATGTTCATCCACATTACCTGAGTTGCCTAATCAATATGGCTGTCTAAACGTATGTGTGCGCGTGCGTGTGTATAAAATGTGTGTCCAGAAAGTATCCAGCCATGTACTATGAAAAATAGAGGCATTGAAGAAGACACAAGAAACATTGTACCATGTGACAATGATGCCTCAGTCCTCTTCAAAGCAGGCACTTTGGGACCTCACACAGTTCTTCCATTGGCATCAGCTGCCCCATCATATTTTCCTGAATCTCATTGATGATGTGAAGTTTCTTCCCTTTCAAAGGTGATTTTAGTTTTGGGAAAAACCAGAAGTTGCAGGGCACCAAATCTGGGGAGTAGCAGGGCTGAGTCACCTGAGTGATTTGGTGTTTCAACAAAAAAGTCTGCACAAGACGTAATGCATGAGCGGGCGCATCATCACCCATCACCTATAGCCCATAGCTGCAGACTTCTGAATCATCAAAATAGTTTCTCTGGAGGAATTCTCAGGCTTTTTGAAATTTGATGCAGATTCATTGCTCTACTCGCTCAGTCATTTTGAATGCCATGACCACACAGTACACATACTCAACTGTGTCTACCACCCCCACTAACTAGTACAGTGAAGTCATCATCGCTCATGCATGTACATTGCAGTCCACTCCCTTGGCTGCCAGGTTACATGGATGTCACACAAGCCATTCTTGTTATATTAACAATATTTGGATTTTTTCTGGACAAACCTCATATATTTGAGAAGAAAATAAAGAGACATGGATTTGTTGTTCCACTTATTTATGCATTAATTGGTTGATTCTTCTGTGTGCCCTAACCAGGGATCTGACTATATATTTTTGAAATTATTTTCATAAACACTGGGCACTGTATATGATGCTGTGAGGAAGTTAAGTATGATGTGTATATGCTAAGAATTTGTATTATACACTGCAAGACATCCATTTACATACTGAATTTTGATATTACGATAAATTATGCCTTCAAGAAGCTTCCATTCTTCTAGGCACAAACATCAAAATTATAATATAAGGTATGAAAAGGGCTGTCACAGAAGAAACTGAAAAGGGAGTCAAATATTTTCTTCTTTAAAAAAAGTCATGAGTACCAGACTGTTTTGTAGTGAATTTTCTCAAACTTCTGTTGACTGATGAGGTTGCAACACCAACAGAAATCCCCAAATTGGGATACAATGAAACAGAAAAATTTGTACAGTGCAAACAGCTGAATTGTGATACAGTATGACTGCAGAACATCTCAGTAGTGTTACAGCTCAATTATGAGAGAGCATGACTGTGGGACAGCCCAGGGGCAAGGCCCATCTTCAGCTAGATGGTTCTTCTGTCTACTTCACCTGGTCTACTTCACCTGCTCCACTCTGTTCCTCTCTGGTCCAGCAAGCTGTCTTCGGCAGTTCAGGTCCAGTGGGGAAACACAGTCTTCAATCTTCAATGGAAAGGGAAAGCATGCCCCCTGAGCCAGAAGGGAACTGACTTAAATATAGAGAAGCCCCCTTCCCTGTCCCTGATTGGTCTGTCCTCATGCATATGAAGACCAAATCCTCAAAATTTGGTCCAAAAGGCACTGTCTTAATTGGTCACAATGGTCAGTAAAGATGCTGATGGAGATATAATTGTAAAGCTCAGATTCGATGGGAAAAGTCGCAGTCTTATTGGTCAAAATATAATTCCAGAAACTTCTTTATAAAAGGACAGGCATAGATGGCATGAACACAATGCAGGCACAGTGCAAAAGGCAGACAATTTAGTGCAGGCTTCTTCCTGAAGCTTGGCTTGT